ATCTGGTACATCAGAGATGACCAGTGATGTTAACACAGGTTACAGGTTCAGAGGGTTTAAAGTGAAACACCCAAGCAAGGGTGTTAGGTATGGCAATTGGTGGGGAACTTTGGATGGACTCCTTAAATAGGTAATATAGAAAAGTTACATGTGTAACCAATTGTACGCTCTCCTGTAGTAGTTCATTGAACCACAATACCGATAAGTGATTAATAAAAGTCAAAAGATCAAAAAGGTCACCTTAATACCAAAAAAAAAAAAAAAACAATTTGCAAAATTAACATTTAATCTATTTTATAAATCAAATACAATATATTATCAAGTTATATACTAAATATTTAAATCTAGATGAGTTTTGATTATTTTAATAGTTTTAGATTACAGATGAATTAGTCTGAACTTTTATTCTTACATATAATTTTCAATTTATTTGTTTTATACAAATCGTAATAGCTGTATAATTAGTGATCTAATGGTTAACTTTAATTACAAATATTGGCTTCAACTATAACATATATATAACTATTTTAAATTACTAATAAAAATATAAGCAAAACCTCACCTTAATATCAAAAAAAAAAATTTATATAACAAAAGTATTAAAAAAAATAATAAAACTTTTAATATATAATTTTGTTTTTTTTTATATTCTTATTAAATACAGATCAAAATACTGATTTCATAAACATACATTTAGAAGTTATAGCAGAATGAAACCTGTATCGTAAATTAATAAAATACCGTGCATAAATCATATAAAGCATAATAAAGAACACACTAATGTGATCTACTTACGTAGTGGATTTACTTAGTGATATGGATGAAAAATCACGAACCGGAGGCGATCCTAAAAAAGCTCGGACCGGTCGACCGTCTTTTTGAAGGGTTTGGGTCAAAATCCCGACAGGTCATAATCCTGGCAAAAAAATCCTGATAGCCAAAAAACCTGACAATTAAAAACTCTAATAAAAAATATCATATACTATAGCAAACTTTATCTTAACCCTTATCTAAGTGACCTAAACCTAAAATTAATTAAATTATAAGAGTTTATTTCGCTTTAAACACATCTCATACATAGGATTATCTATCTAAAAATTCTGACTGTCGTGATTTTTAATTGTCGGGATTTTGGACTGTTTGGATTTTTTTTTTGTCGGGATTATGACCTAGATTTTGACCCGCACCCCTTTTTGAATTCTAGTGATATTAATTATTTAATTTTTATTTGAGAGATACCCTTATGTCAAGAAAATCCCGGGCTGAAGATAAACATCACAAAAATTTATTATGATAACTAACTCTGGCCTCTAAGTAAAAGTTTTCAGAATGAAATTTTACTTACGGGACACAATTTTTAATGTTAGATATATAGGGAATTTTTGAGATACTACAACCTATATTTTTTTGGCCGGTAACTCGGGATAAGGATATCCGTCTTGAGAAAAATTCCAGCATGTTATCATTTAATGTTGGTTGATTGTCCATGCCTCTGAACATTTATATTATATTCGCTATTTGCCAATTTATCACCTAAAAGAGCCAACTTCTCCTACATTATTATAGATGACTAGTTGATCTTTATTCAATTTCTGCCTGAAATATGCTTTAGAAGGAAATTGATTTTAACATTTCGTTTATCAACCGGCCCGTCCCACAAAGGTGCAGGCTGAGGGTCGACCCGTATCACTAGTAGTTTTAATAAGTAATTGTTTCACCCTCTTCTATAATTAAAAATTATACGTATATAATACGTATAATATTATTGTATCATAATGCGTTAAAAATATAATGGTGCGTTGCTATGTATTCCATAACGATAATCATGAATTTGTTCGATAATACAGTATTTACCGATTCTGGTTATGCCTCATAATCTATGTATGTACAAAATTGTTAATATTACTGATGTGGGTTAAGCCTGAATGGGTTACGTCGCTCACTAGAACAAAAAATTATAATCTTTAAAAAGTAATTCTAGGATTTATCAAACCTCAACTTTTCAAGATTCTTATACATAAGTACCTTTATCCAACTTAATAATTTGTAAAGGAATTTTATTTACATATTTGTTATTTACAAAACTATTAAAATAAACTTTTGTATACTACATAACACGGACTATATGATCCATTCCGTAGTTAAAGTCCAGACTTTGTTAATACTAAATATTCACGTAGAAATGATATACTATAATCCGCGCTATGCTCCAAATATACATTACTTGGATACAATGAATCCGATCAATGTGTATCTAAAGTCCATATATATCTAATATCTAAGTGTCAGGTGTCAGAATCATGATTTTTGTATGTTAAATAAAGATTTTGATGTACAAAAAAAAAAAATAGATTCTATGAAATAATTCAATTTTTACAAATATCCACAATTATAATCTATTTATTTCTTCTTTTGTGTTTTCTAGTAACGACTCTCCATTCTTCTTCCTCGCCACTATTACTGGTATTGCTACTAGAATCGCTTAGGTCTTTTCCGATACAAGCAAATGAATGTTCCCGTATATGTGATGGTTGTGAATTACGCCCCTGCATTGCCTTATATAGAAATGAATGACAAAACGTTAGATAAAAAAGTTGGCTATTAAATAAAGATAAGTAAATTCTATATACTTTTAAAGTTTCAATGAATCCCGGAGAAAAGTTTTTATAGAACTTTTGCGAGTGAAAACGAATTTTCACGAGTGATACATTATAGATTTTTGTCGCAAAAGTTTTATTTTTTATTAAAAGGAATCAAAACTTTTAAAAGATATATAATTTTTATTGCGAATAACTTAATGGTAGTAACTGATTTGCTTGGAAGCTAAATCAAGTCACATATATATTTATATATATTCTTTAACCATTATAGAAAGAATAATCTATATATACTATACCAAAAATTCATGTTCACTAGTTTCATCTACTTTTGTTGAACCATCATCATCATCATATTCTATATCACTATCATCAATTTCTTCTTCCTCTACCACTACAAAACTTTTTTGTTTCTCACGTTCATTCCATCTTAAACATCTTGATATTGAATTAAACCAATCTTTAGATTGAGATTCTAAGCACACAGTAGGAAATGGGAATTTTGATGGAGTAACTTTTATGTGATCACCCTCTGAAGGAAAAAGGAAAAAGATTATTTTATGTAAACAAAGTTTTAAGAAAGTTAAATATGAAAAAAAAAGAAATTACGTTTTAATTCGACTCTTCCTCGACCATCAAAGCTTGCCCACGCAGTACTACGACTATTATAAGGAACACATATTCTTAACTCCATTGAATCTGGTAAAAGCATTGGACGAAAGGATAGAGTGTGCGGACAAATAGGGGTAATTAATAGAGCAGATATTGCAGGATGAACTAGAGAACCGCCAGCTGATACAGAATAAGCAGTTGAACCAGTAGGAGTAGCTACTACAAGTCCATCAGCTTGGACAGTTGTGAGATGTTGATCATCACCTAATTATTAAAGAATAAAAAAGAAATTAAAGAATGAAATAAGTAAATAATAAAAGAATGAAATAAGTAAATAATAAAAAGAAGGAATTGGATAAAAAAAATAAATAATCAAATATGTGATAATATAAAAAAAAGATTAGTACATAATATAAGAGAAATAAAGAGACATACCAAATAATTCCAGTAAACTCATATAAGGACCAGCACCTCGATCAACAACCAAATCGTTTAAAACTTGAAAAGTTTCAGACGGTTGAGTGAATAAACAAGGTAGGTCTTTATCATGACCACATTCATGTTCTGAATTTGAATGGGAAGAAGATTCAAGCTCGTTCCAATCAATCATGATTTTACCAGTTTCACCACAACGAGTTGCTTTTACAGGATTTTTTATTCTTCGATAAACGGTACATGTAAATCTCATTCTTAAGTTTACACGAATACCTTCATCGAAAGCACTTGTTATATGATTTTTATAATTTTTAAAATCAAAATTTGTCAAGAAACCAAGAGAACCCATATGAAAAGGTAAAACAGGGGGAACGACTTTCTGAAATAACCATGAAGTGTATAATACAGTCCCATCACCACCAAGCTAATAATATAAATATAAATAATTAATAATAAATTGAGAAGATTAAGTTTAAAAAAAGTAATAATAAATTATATAAAAATTATATAATAAATTATAATAAGAAATTACCGTTAGAACAAAATTAAATATCTCTGGTCTCTCAGCACACAATTCTTTTGTCCAAAATTTTAAATAGTCTTTCACAAAAGGAGATTCATTTAACATGCCAAGAAAATCAAATCGCTTTGAATCTTTTAAATTTTTATCTACATATACAGTCACACCATGATCTTTTCCAAAGCGAGGAGTGGTAATTAAATACATAGCTAATTCACGAGTGATATTTACTAAGCGAAGATCACCAGGTTTAGTGACAATCATGACAGCCTGCATTATACTATGAATGCGAGCTTTTCCTATTAAAAAAAAAAAAATAAAAAATAATAAAAATAATAAATTTGATTAATTTATATAATTTATATAAGATTATAAATCCGAAATTTACCAAGTTTTTTTGATATTTCTCTGACACTAACAGCGGTCTCAGCCAAATTTGAATATTGAGTGACGCCTTTATCAAATTGATTTATCATTTCTAAAAGTGGTACTGAAAGTGATGGATCGATATCGGAATGAACAAAACAAGGAGATTTTGGAGTAGGTGAAGGAGTTGGTACTTTTAAAAGATTTTGACGAGGTTTAAGAGGATCGGGACGATGATTACAAGAGTCTGACAAATTGTGCTTGTCACCATTCCTTTTATCAAGTAATCTGTTTTTAATTAATGAAGTTGGTTTCGAAGAAGTTGAAGTCATGTTTCGAGAGATCTTTGATGAAAGGATTTTTATACAGTCAGCACTTTATAAAAAATATAGTGATCTATTGAATTAATGAATTAATTGATGAAATCAGATAAAGATAAATCATTTCAGTGATATGATAATGAAATGACATTAAAATCTATTCAAACATACTCGAAATTTTCTGTTGTTTTACTGCTCGAGGTAGGAAAAAAATAAGGTATAGAAACTTATGATTACGCAATGCCAAACTATAAAACAACCATAATATAAATAATATAAATATATTATACATACAAAAAAAAAATAACAATTAATAATAATAATATTTTAATGCTAATAAATAAAATTTTTTATTTTTAATAAATTCAAGAGTGAATTTTCGGTCTTTTATACATTTTTTTTTTAGGTGTATATCATCCCAGAACGATAAATATAGTAGAATTATATGATTTATATATTTCTCCATTTATTGTGTCACTAATCCAGTGAAATTGCCGAGTTTGGAGTGATTCCCTTAAGATAAGGTACATGGAATTAATAATCTGAGAGGCCGCATGAAAATTTATGGAGCACATACAGGTTTGCAACAGGTTTGAAATGGATGTAGAACTTTTTTTAATGTTTAACTTTAAATGTCGATTAATATCGATACACTAACTTTATAAGAATGGTCTTCTAAAGATGTTAGGTTGATACATGCGAGTTAAAGATCCTAATACAAATTCTAAATTAATTCCTTCGTAATTTTAAAATTTTAAAATTTAATAATCTGTTTGTTAGGAAATTTCGAAACTAGGAGTGTTTCAATAAGATGTGCAACATGCATCAACGAAATGCTTATTATAAAGTAAAGGGTATCAACTACTTGACGTTCTTGTCAACTTTATTTTAATGGCCGGATAAGGACAATACACTGATCAGATAATTGGCACGTGTATAAAGAACTATAGAATTCTTTGTTGAATTATTTTAAAGATTGTTTCAAACTTAGAGTTTGTTTTTCCCACTTTTTACCTAAAATACCAAATTTATAAGTCACTGTAACCGCTACACCCGGCCGCTCTATTGAACCATAAGTGAACAAATATAGAACTCTTAAATCCTTTTTTTAAGCCATTGTCTTTGATGAAATGATTGTGGTTATCGAGTGTTCATGTGAGGAATTTGTAGAGAAGACATTCATCGTTACATAACAATAAAGTTACCAGGAATCAAAAAAACCGGCATTAAACATGTCTTCTGTGTACGTATACGTATACGTATATTGTAACACCCGATTACCCGATACTACACACTATATTGATATGTAATTTATACAATAACTTAAACAAATGTCTTAGGTGAGTGTGTATAATTTTTATTACGACACTAATTCCGGTTGAAGTAATTAAAATTTTCAGACTAATTTTATTATAATCTATATATGTTTAGTGTAATCCTTAAAACTATTGCAATTTAAAAATGAAACAGATATATTTGTTAGTAGATAGCCTGGAAACGTAATAAACGTTTATGTTAAATGATTCTAAAGAATAATTTATGTAAAGTTGAATTTAGGTATGTACGTACGTACCTATCATGTCATTAAGCTTTAAATGAATTAAAGTTCTTAAATTATTTATCATTATAAATATATTATCTTTTGAAAATTATCATCTTTCAATTGGTAATGATTGACTCGGTTGAATGTTAGTCCTGTCGTAGATGCTCCAAAAGTGTTTAGACCGAATGTCGGCTTTTCCGCCTTTACAACTCTTTATCGTAATTTAGTAAAACTATTATCGTTATCTCGAATGTTAACGTTCAAAAAAGTGTTCTAAATATGTACTTACATACCACCGATACCAGTCACATGGTTTGTCATACAGACCCTAAGGCACCTGAATTTTATAAGTGAAATTTGTGTACGTAAAAGAAATGTTAAATTCTTATATATTTAGTAAAAAGATTTGAGAAGAGTGTGATTTCAACTTTTTCCGGTTTTTTTATGTATTTTATTTGCATATCCCTATTTAATTAGTATTAAGTTTAGCCTCAAGATATTGCGATTTTACTAAATTTTTTTAATTACAAATTTTGGTTTATCTATATATTTTCATCTTTATTCTAGTTCAGGTCTTATCTTAGAATCCCGACACTTAAAATCCAGATGTCAAAACTCTGACATTTATACAACATCCCAAATCCCATCCCTCAAGCATAACCACCCAAATCAGTTCCGTATTTATACTCAGCGTTATATGAATTTTCAGGTGATTTTTTATTATGAAAATTTTTATTATATTAAATTATATGTATTTAAACTCCGTACGTAACTGATTTAGTACTGTTGAGATTTTGTTGTCGGGTTTATAGATGCCTAGTGTTTGAATGTTGATCTTAGAATTTTATATTTGTTTGCACGTCTGAAATCCGTGACAGGTTAAACAATTGATTAGCATTCCAATTTTTACATAAGGACCCCAAAATTTTCGGTTCGGATCCATCGAATTTAGGCCATCATTTAGCAATACAAGTCAACCATTTCTGGATTAAAATTATCAGCTGGGTAGCTTTACTTAATAAGTGAGCTATAATTTCATCAGTAAAACTTTCTAACCAGGAAATTTGAGAACCTTTCTTATAGGCAACTTTTCTTCTAATTGTTCAATCATATGAAATTAAATCAGTCATTTTGATTGGTGATCAATTATTATTATTTTTTAGGGAATTATTTTTTATACTTCTTAAATTTATTATTCATATTCTTTTGTAGATTTAACTTTTTTTAAAACTTTAAGTGAAGATGATTTCATAATTACCAAAATTAAATTTAATATTTTTTATTTAAATTCTAAAATTCAAACAATAAAAGATTTATTAAATTTGGTAGTTATTAAAATATATATCTTTGCTTAAAGTTTAAAAAAATTAACCTAATTATCAAAACAAATTATACAAAATTTTTTTAAACTTTAAAGATAAAGAGTAATATATTGAAATTATATATAAACTCAATAGTAAATTTTTTTTATATTAAGTAAACTAATATTAATTTATAAAAAAAGTTTGTAGAGCAGATCTTTCTAATTTTAATGATAATAAAATTATTAAATTTGATTAAAAATTCAGTAAGATTTAACTTTTTAAAGATTAGGTATAAAAATTTATTAATTAAATTAACTTATAGGGTTATATAAATTAATTAATCAAATTTAGTATTCTTGTACTATTTAGAAATTTTTGAACTGTTCTAAAAAAACTTTATGATATATATATATATGTATTTTTTAAATATAATAATAGTTCAAAATTTTACTATAATAAATAAATTATTTTATTTATATTTTGTGAAATTTTA